TTTCCTGTTTTCAGTGTAAACTTTATTTTTCAACAGTTTGAACAAACAAAGGCACACGAGGTGAACATCCACACACGCTGCTCATAGACGCAATGGCGTGCACCAACACGCTGCTCATAGACGCCGTGGCGTGCACAGAGCTCAGCTGCATAGAAACGTTTAGAGCATCATTCATTTTTTTCACGAAATCAGAAGACGGAAATTTTCTGCGTCATTTCAAGCGTATCCAGGCAGAAAAGAAAATGATTATCAAAGGTCGTCTCGTCCAATCAGAAAGCTCCGCACACTGCACGGACAAAGATTGTCTCAAAGATTTGCATAAATTATCGAAAAAACATTTACCACTTCCCTTGTGTGTGTGTGTGTGTGTGTGTGTGTGTGTGTGTGTGTGTGTGTGTGTGTGTGTGTGTGTGTGTGTGCGCGGGTGAGTGTGTGTGTGTGTGTGTGTACTTGTGTGTGTGTGTAACTGGCTGACACACACTTTCACTGTCGGTATATTCAAGACGGTTGCATAGAGTATAAAGACGACAGCTCATTCCTTCGCCGTTGTGTCAGCTGACACAAAGAGCCGTCCAATCACAGTGCAGTATTATTCACTGCTGCCGTGGGTCTCACATTCACGCGTCTTTGAGTCCTAGCAACTAAAAGTAAACAAATCCAACGTGGGCTACAGGTCAGAGGAAGTTATGCTGCTTCCTGTCTACAAAATAAAGATTATTTAAAGTCACAGAGACAAACATCAAAGATGGCCGACATGAGGAGGAGAGTTTGTTTCCCGCCTCCTCAGTCTTCAGCATCGTCTCTCACAGCGACAGTCGGCCAGATATATGTGCAGCTGGTGGAGCATCAGGACCCATCAGGACCCATCAGGTCCTGGACCCCTTTAATGACCCGACTCCAAGTTCTGATAAATCCATTCAACCTGAGAGGGGTCGTCACAGGAAGTGGTCTGTTCAGAAGGCTTCATGCTGTCACCACACAGACCCGTTTTTGGGCCCCGAGCCAGCCGTTGAGAACCAAAGCTTTAAATGTTAACACATAATATTTACAAAACTGAGCGTTTTTTTTTTTTTTTTTTTGAAGAGTTGGTCCTCCACAGCTGTTTCCTAAAGTCCCAGTTATGATCCACATCAGCACTGAAGAGAGAAGAAGAGAGCTGAGAGGGTCCAGGACAGCAGGGGGGGGGGGCAGCAGGAGTCTGGCCTCCTCCAACAGAGAGGCGGTCGGGGCTCATGGTGCAGCGTCGCCTGCAGAGAGAAGGAAGACCATAAGACACAGATTCAGCTCCTCAGGGTCCTGAAGAGTTCAGGACAGAATATCACCTGCAGGGGGCAGGTCTCTGCTGCCCTCCGTCTGGAGGTCAGCTCGCCGCAGCAGCTGATGAGGGATTGAGGCTGAAGTTGAAAGGCCTTAAGGAGCCTGGTACGCTACGAGCTGCTAATACAAAGAGGAAGCATGTGACGCTCTCTAAGCTAGGCTGTGCTGGACTTCAGAAGTCCATCAGTCCCCCTTCCAGCAGCTCAGACAAGAAACTTAAAATATTACTGAGGTCAGGGGGTGCAGCTTCACATAGCAACACAACATGCTAATTAGCATCAGCAGGACTGTTAGCGAGCATCACGTTAGATCTGGCCTTTAGCGGTATGCCCGGGCGTTCAGAGCGAGTACAGAAGGCGAGAGAGATAGGGGGGGTCTTTCTGTTAGGGTGCAGTTTGGTGAGGGGGGTCTTTCTGTCAGGGTGCAGTTTGGGGTATCACTGTCGCTCTGAGTTATTAGCATCATGCTCTTGTTTTGTTGAGAGGACGACACTGAATACGCTTGTTAATGTTAAATTTACAGCCCCAGCAGGGGGCTCAATAAAACCAGGGGATAGAGGGGTGTGTGTGTGTGTGTGTGTGTGTGTGTGTGTGTGTGTGTGTGTGTGGTGTGTGTGTGTGTGTGTGTGTGTGTGTGTGTGTGTGGTGGGGGAGGAGGAGGGGGGCAGTGAGAGGAAAAGGGGGAGGAAAGTGGAAGGTGGCGGTAATTAAGAGTGTAAAAGAGTGTGAGAGAGGCGCACACCGCTCAAAGCAAACTCTGAACCGGGACTCCTCACTTCTTATTTATGAACCCCCCCCCCCTCCCATCTCCCCCCCCTCCCCTCCCCTCCCCCCCCCCCCACTCTTTACTTGTCTCCCTCTTTGCTGAATGAATAGCTATCACCGTGCTATGGTGTCCCCCCTCCCCATCATCCAGCCCTTTCTCAGCGCCCCCTCCTCCAGGACGGTCTGAATGGGGAACCTGTCAGCTCAATAGGGGGTCTGGCCGTGAACTTGAAGTCCTTCCCAGGCCCCCAGACTCACATTACGCAGGGAGGGGTGGATGGGGAGACAAGAGGGAAGAGGTGGTGATGTGGGGGTTGCAGCCAGACTTTTTGGGGGGCCCCTTACGTGCCAGTGTTGTGGGGACCCCTGCCACAGAGGTTCCCAAGGCTGGTTCTCCTACAGCAGCGATGGGGGCAGGG